ATTACAAGTAAATGACACATTGAAATCAATGGCGGCCGATTTCCAACATTCTTCCAAATATCTTCTCTCTTTTTCAAAAGAATAAAATATGGAGGATGCATTTTAAAAAATGCTGGGTTGTCTTTAGCCAAAGCTGGGTCAAACATGAACAAACCAAACAAACTCATTTAAATTTTCATTCCCTTATTGATCAGGGGCCTCAACAGCGGAATGAACCGCCAACTACTCTGGCATATGTCTTACGCAGGGTGCACCCTTCCAGCCGTATTTACACACTAACAGAAGACCCTCGCAAAGTTTCACTTCAGGCCCCTGGAAGTCTAGGAACCGGCTTTGCTTTTATTGAAATAAGTAGTAGACCAGTGACGGCACACACACATCAGCAGATGTCCCTAATGTGCAGCCTCTTCCTTGCGGCTAATTCAGCTTAGCAGCCGGCTTTACTTCAGCTCAGGGCTGCGCTGCTTCCTGCCAAATAATGTGATTTCAGACGCAGCCCAGTCATTCCCAGAAGGGCAGAGAAAGGGGAAAGCGTGACTCGGTGCTCTCACTCTGTCAGGCACACCTTTAAAACCAGCACAGACGACAAAGCACATTACGGCTGCACAATATATCCTTTTAGCATCGACATCGCAAATAGTCAATAATCCTGTTGAATCGGGATTATAATTAACCATGTCATTTGCAGAGTCATTGCAAAGTTAATTAAACTATAATCAGTATTGGGTGATTATTTATAACGCTAAAATTGCATTTATGTTACTTTACTAATTTACTATGTCTGAAAATAATTTAATGACTAATTTAATGACTTAATAAGGAATTTAATTACTTGTGTCAATACTACTTGAAATTAGGAATGCACTGAATTTGGCATGTTTTCTAGTGATGGCTTACAGCTGGAAGGGCATTAGCTGCGTAAAACACATGCTGTACAAGTTGGCGGTTCATTCCGCTGTGGCAACCCCTGATAATTAAAGGGGCTAAGCCGAAAAGAAAATGAATTACTGAATTTGGCATAAAAAAATAAAAAAAACTGGTGAAAATATGAGTGAAAAATTATTTGGCTTTCACACCGGACGCAGAAAGCGCTGTAAAGCAAACTTAATATATGCTATAAAACCCATTTATTGTATTGTGCAAGTTTCTTCAAAAAAGTAACAAATTAATTTATAATTACAGGATTAAAATTGTATTTAAATGACATTTTTTAATTTCCATGTCTGAAAAGTAATTTAATTATTCAATAAGGAATTTAATGACATCAGTTAATATTACTTAAAATTAGGAATGCACCAAATTTGTCATAAAAAAAAAAACGGGTGAAAATATGAGCCAAAAAAATGTTTAGGTTTTCACACTGGACGCAGAAAGCGCTGTAAATGAAACTGAATAAACGCTATTGAACCCATTTATTTCAATGGCTTGTGAAAATGTTGAGTATTTAAAGTTTAACTATAATCCGCATTGGGCATGTTTAATAAAAAAAAAAGTAATAGTTACTAATTACAGCATTAAAACTGTATTTAAATGACTTTTATAATTACCATGTCTGAAAAGTCATTTAATGACTCAATGAATAATCTAATTAATTGTATCAATGCTGCTTAAAATTAGGAATACACTGAATCTGGCAAAACGAAAAACAGGTGAAAATATGAGCTGAAAAAATGCTTTGGATTTCACACTGGACGGAAAAAGCACTGTAAAACAAATTGAATATAGGGTATAAAACCCATTTATTTTAATGGCTTGTCAAAAATATTGAATATTTAAAGTTGAACTACAATCCATATTGGGTAAGTTACTTCAAAAAAGTAATTAATTACTAATTATATCATTCAAATTGTGTTTAAATGACTTTTTATAACTACCATGTCTGAAAAGTCATTAAATTATTCAATAAGGAATTTAATGGCATCAGTTAATATTACTTAAAATTAGGAATGCACCAAATTTGTCATAAAAAAAAAAAAACGGGTGAAAATATGAGCCAAAAAAAATGTTTTGGTTTTCACACTGGACGCAGAAAGCGCTGTAAATAAAACTGAAATAAAACTGAATGCTGAACGCTAAAAAAAATACATTTATTTCAATGGCTTGCAAAAAATGTTGAGTGTTTAAAGTTTAACTAGAATCCGTATTGGGCATCTTTAATTTAAAAAAGTAATAGTTACTAATTACAGCATTAAAACTGTATTTAAATGACTTTTATAATTACCATGTCTGAAAAGTCATTTAATGAATTTAATTACTTCTTATCAATACTGCTTAAAATTAGGACTTTAGGAATTACACTGAATTTGGCATAACAAAAAATGGGTGAAAATACGAGCCAAAAAATTGTTTTGGTTTTCACACCGGATGCAGAAAGAGCTGTAAATCAAATTTAATAAAAGTTGTATAATCCATTTATTTCAATGGCTTGTGAAAAATTTTAGTTTAACTATAATCAGTATTGGGGCATCCGCTGCGTAAAAACTTGCTGGATAAGTTGGCGGTTCATTCCGCTGTGGTGACCCCGGATTAATAAAGGGACTAAGCCGACAAGAAAATGTATGAATGAATAATCAGTATTGGGCAAGTTGCTTCAAACATGTATTTAATGATTAATTACAGCATTAAAATTGTATTTAAAGGACTTTTCTGATTACTACACAGAATTAGGAAAACACTGAATTTGGTTTGAAAAAAAAAAACAGGCAATAATAAGAGCCAAAAAAAAGGCTATGCTTTGGTTTTCACACCAGACACAGAAAGCGCTGTAAATCAAATTGAATAAATGCTATGAAGTGGATTTATTTCAATGGTTTGTTTAAATATTAAGTATTCAAAGTGTAACTGTAATCCGCATTACGTAAGTTTCTTCAAAAAAGTAATGAATTACTAATTACAGCATTAAAATTACATTTAAATTACTTTACTAATTACCAAGTCAGAAAGGTTATTTAATTACTCAATAAGGAATTTAATGACTTTGGTCGATGCAACATAAAGTTAGGCATAAAAAAAAAAAAAAACAGGCGGACAGTATATATACACAGTTTCTGTACTCAAAGTTTCTCTGATAGATGGCAAAAAACAAACATTGCACCTAGTGATAGGGCCCATAAAGGGCTAGTAGGCATCAAGGACCTTTGTTTTTGCTTATTTTTTTTTTAATTGAATAAAAAGTCGCTGACAAATTAAATGGCCTCAAAAAAATCTCAAAAATCGCTTAATGTAATGTAAAAATCAAGCAAAATGGCATTTATTTTATTAAATAAGAAGTAGTAGGCTTTAGTAGAGGTAAACACTTTCTTTGTTTATATTAGTGTTCCATATATGTATGTGTATATATATATATATATATATATATATATATACACATATATGTGTATATGTATGTATGTATGTATGTATATATAATTATAGTGACCAATGAATCTGAAAATAAAAAAATAAAATAAAATAGCAAAAATATGTAAATGTGTGTATATTTTTTTACAGCAAAAAAGCACAAGAAATGCAAAAAAATTTTGAGAAAAGTTTTTAAAAGCCACAAAATCAGGCATTTGAGGCTCCAATAATCAAAATTACTTTTTGCAAAATCCAGTAGTGATTGGTTGAGCATTGTGCAGGTACAAAACAGCCACAGACATATTTGAATAGGAACGAAATAGTGAAAAACAGTCACAAAAATGGAAAATAAAATCTAAAATGACAAACAAAAATAAAAAATACAGTTGAAACCAGAAGTTTACATACACTGTATAAAAAGGCACATGACCATTAAAAAAAAAAAAAAGTCAGATGTTAATGTGACTAAACTTTTTCTCTTTTAGGTAAGTTAGGATTATCACATTAGTTTCTGTTATGCTTAATAGCAGAATAATGAGAGAGATAATTGTTGAGAAATTGTTATAACTTTTCTTGAAAGTCAAGTTTACATACAATAAGATTATTCTGCCTCTGAAAAAGCTCAGATGATGATGTCAAGGTTTTGGAAGTTTCTGATTGGCTAATTGACACCATTTGAGTTAATTGGAGGCACAACTGTAGAATAGTATTTAAGGAAAACCTCAAACACACTTGAGCTTCCTTAAGTGACAACATGGGAAAATCAACAAGCCAGAATCAACAAAAAAGCCAGATAACAATTTGCCTAATATACACTGGGAAAAGACTAATTTTTGGAGACATGTCCTGTGATCTGATGAAACTAAAATTGAACTGTTTGGCCATAATGACCAGTGTTACATTTGGAGGACAAAGGGGAAAGCTTACAAGCCTAGGAACACCATCCTAACTGTGAAGTATGGGCCGGCAGCATCATGTTGTGGGGCTGTTTTGCTACAGGAGGCACTGGTCCACTTCACAGCATAGATGGCATCATGAAGAAAGAACATTATGCAGAAATACTGAAGCAACATCTCAAGACATCAGCCAGGGAATTAAAACTTGGCCACAAATGGGTCTTCCAAACAGACCATGACCCTAAGCATACTGCCAAATTAGTTAAAATGTGCTTTAAGGACAACAGAGTGAATGTTTTGGAGTGGCCATCACAAAGCCCTGATCTCAGCCCTATAGAACATTTGTTGGCAGAGTTGAAAAAGCTTGCGCGAGCAAGACAGCCTACAAATCTGACTCAGTTACACCAATTCTGTCAGGAGGAATGGGCCAAAATTCCTTCAAACTATTGTGAGAAGCTTGTGGAAGGATACCAAAAACATTTGACCAAAGTTAAACAGTTTAAAAGCAAAGCTAAAAAAAAGCTTCTCTCATTATTCTGGCATTAAGCAAATGTAAAACATTAAGGTAATCCTAACAGACCTAAAATAGTAAACGTTTAGTATAATTTACCATCAGACATTAAAAAAAAAATGGTTATGTTCCTTTTTTTTAGGGTGTATGTAAACTTTAGGTTTCAACTGTATTTGCATTTCCTCACTGTCAATGTCTGGAAAAGACCTTTTAAAATCGTGTGATATCCCAGAAAATGATGCTTGATGTGTTACCTGATTAGGTCTCCATGCAGCTGCAGGTAAAGGCCCTGCACGTCTCTCTGAGCGCACAGCTCCTCAGCGGGGGTGTTGGTGGAGCACAGCACCAGCTTGAGGTCGGGCTGACCGCTGCTGGAGGTCTGAGGGCCCGAGGGTGGAGGCTGTGGCTCCGAGGCCCCATACAGACATACGCAGCCCCTCTGAGTGTCGCCCTTCAGCCAGTCCCGCTCACGAGAGCCGAAACGCGTCTTCCGGGTCACACAGCCTCGACTGCCGTTCCTCTTCATGTTACGCTAAGGACGAGAGGAGAGATCAGATGCTCAAATTATGCCCTTCTAGAAAAAAAAAGGCCAAATAAAGTGCTTCAGGGCCCAAATCAGGCCTTAAAAACCACAGGCTGGTGGCTGTCAGGACTCCACCCTGAAACTCTGAGTCTGTTTCAGGCTTTGTTTTCCAGAACTGCAGTGGCATAAATATTTACTCGGAGCAGAAATGTGCTAAAGAGAGCCGTGTGAGCTGAGAGAGACCACAGGTCATTAGGCAGATGCTGAAATCTTTTACTGATGGAGATTTCCCCTGATTAACTGACCAATGGCATCAGCAGCACAGAGTCCAACAGAACAACACTGGACCTGTCTTTAAACGGAAGAAAGAAAGTCATACAGGTTTACATTTGAGAGTGATATAAATGCAGTAATCATTTTTATTAAATTGTTATTATATATATTATGGCCAAATATAGTTGTATTTTAATAATTTATGCTGTTATTATTATTATTATTATTTTTATAATTTAAAAAATAAAATAGTTTTATTAACAATTTGTTTACAAAATAATCATTATAAACAATTTTTATATTAATTTCTTATTTTTCAATAATAATAGCTATCTCTATCATTATCATTATTTTATTTTTCCATTGGTTGTTCCAATAACCAAACATTATTATTTATTCATTTATTTATTTATTTGTTTATTATATATAGTGCTTTAGTATTCATTTGGGTTTGTATTTTATGCATTTATACACACACACACACACACACACACAAATTTGTTTTTGTGAAAAGTGGGGACATTAAATAGGTTTCCATTCATTTTATACTGTCTAAACAGTATGTAGTATTGCCCTCACCCCATCGCACCCCTAAACCCAACCATCACAGGAGACTGTGTACAGCTTTACTCTCTGATTAAACTCATTCTGTAGGATTTATAAGGTTTTTGAGAAATGAGGACGTCACCAATGTCCTCATATTTCACCTCCTTTTTGTAATAGCTGATTCATACCCATGTTATTATACAGATTTGTGTCCTGATGTCACTAAAACACGTACACACACACACACACACACACTTGAAGTCAGAATTATTAGCCCCCCTTTAAATTATTATTTTTTTCTTTTTTTAATATTTCCCAAATGATGTTTAACAGAGCAAGGAAATTTTCACAGTATGTCTGATAATATTTTTTTTTTATTCTGGAGAAAGTCTTTATTTGTTTTATTTCGGCTAGAATAAAAGCCGTTTTTAATATTTTTATAACCATTTTAAGGTCAAAATTATTAGACCCTTTAAGCTTTACATTTTTAATAGTCTACAGAACAAACCATCGTTATACAATAACTTGCCTAATTACCCTAACCAGCCAAGTTAACCTAATTAACCTAATTAAGCAGTCAAATGTCACTTTAAGCTGTATAGAGGTGTCTTGAAAAAATATCTGTTAAAATATTATTTACAGTCATCATGACAAAGATAAAATAAATCAGTTATTTGAGATGAGTTATTAAAACTATTATGCTCAGAAATGTGTTGAAAAAAAACTGCTCTGTTAAACAGAAATTGGGGAAAAAAATTAACGGGAGCTAATAATTCTGACTTCAACTGTATGATATATATATATATATATATATATATATATATATATATATATATATATATATATATATATAAAATTTGTTGCCATACTTTCAAGAAAATAAAAAAGTTTTGACTGTTTTATCTATTTATATTACATTATATCATACAAATTACAATTCAACAAGCGGAGCATATACTTGTTGAGTCTGAAACAGGAGTCTGTTTCATAATTTTCATATTTATATATATGAACAAAGCATATATTAAACTGTAACAATAGTAGTAATATATTGTTGTTGTTGACATAATAAATCAAATATAAATAACTAAATAAAACATAAATGATAAAAGTAAATATATATTAGGACTGGGAGATAAATTGGAAAATAATCAAAATCGGCATTCAGAACCTATAATCGATCTAATTTTCCAAGGTCGATTTTTCCGATTATATTGCCCACTATGTGTGGAGCCATGTGACGACTTCACACGTAATCATTTATAATACACGTGTAATACATTTGTACTTATATGTATTATATGTATGTATTTATATTTAGATGTATATGTATTTATATACATATTATATAACACACACATATGTATTTATATCCATATGTGTGTGTTTGTGTGTGTATTTTGTAATGCATTACATCATCAATCAACAACGTTTTAACATATGCATATATTCCAAACCTGCATAATATGCATATGATCCAAAACCAAAATAAATACCAAAGAATAACAACATGTATTGTATAATCCATACAGTGCAATCAATTGCAGCAAATCAGAATCCATAGGATGTCATTAGATGCTCTCAGGCTCATCATTATAAACTGCTCCCATCATATCCTCCATCAAAATGAGCTTTGACAACCAATTTCTCCCAGTTATGCATTTTATTTTTCCCATTTTCCAAATCACTAAAGTTTATTCTGATCCCATTTAAAATTCTCTGATACATTCCTTTACTTTCCTTCCTTTATTTTTCAGGGGTTGCTAACTATTCCAGCACATGTTTTAAGAAGCGGATGCCCTTCCAGCTGCAACCCAGTACTGGGAAACATCCATACACTCACATTCACACTCATACACTACGGCCAAGTTAGTTTTTTTTTTCAAATTACCTATAGCGCATGACTTTGGACTGTGGTGGAAACCGGAGCACCCAGAGGAAGCCCATGCGATCATGGGGAGAACATGCAAACTCCACACAGAAATAAAAACTGACCCAGCCGGGGCTCGAACCAGCGACCTTCTTGCTGGGAGGTGATCGTGCTACCCACTGCACCATTGTGACACCTCTTTATTTAATTTAATTAATTTACTTATTTAAGATTTATTTATTTACTATTTATTTATTTAATATTTATTTAATATTTAATCATGTATTTATGTTTTCATTTACTTTTTATTTATTCATTTATTTAGTTTAGTTTTATTTTGCATTATTTTATTTTATTTACTTATTCATTTATTCATTCTATTTTATTTTATTTTATTTTTTTTTACTTTACTTTACTTTACTTTACTTTACTTTACTTTACTTTGTTATTTTATTTTGTTTTATTATTAATAATATTTTATTTTGTTTTATTTATGTATTATTTATTATTTTTTATTAATTTAATTTAATTTAATTATTTATTTATTTGTTTGTTTATTTTATTTAATTTTAAACCAAATTTCAGATGTAAAAAATTATTTACAGTGCAAATGTAAATAAAGCTAAAATTAATTTAAAAAGATTAAGTCACCATATCTCCAAAGAAGATTGATTCATTCATTAATTTTCCTATGGCTTAGTCCTGTATTTATCAGGGGTCCCCATAGTGGAATGAACCGCCAACTATTCCAGCATATGTTTTATGCAGCGGATGCCCTTCCAGCCACAACCCATCACTAGGAAACACCCATACACTCTTGCATTTACACACCGACACTACAGCCAATTTAACTTACTCAATTCACCTCTAATGCATGTCTTTAGACTTGTGGGGGAAATCGGAGCACTCGGAGAAAACCCACACCAACACAAGAAGAACAAGCAAACTCCACAGAGAAATACCAACTGACCCAGCAGGGGCTCGAACCAGCAATCTTCTTGCTGTGAGGCAACAGTTCTAACCACTGAGCTAGTTCTAATACAGATATTAAAAAAAAAACATCCATCAAACATCACTTTAATCAAAAGTGTCACGGTTATTATTACCTTTCTCCACCATCTGCACTCATCTATCAAGTGTCATCATGACACAATAACCGTAATGACGTTTATTAATACTAAAAAACGAGAACGTCACACTGGATGGATCTTCTTAACGCAGTAAATAAAATGTATATGTCACAGATAAGAGTAACTAGACAGGACAGGAATGCAGTGGTCTAATAATAGTCAAAGATCACTGTAAGAAACTGCTCTCATTCATTCAAGCACCAGCATTTAAAGGAGGAGGAAGAAACTGACGTCTGACTTTCTTCTGATTATCCATTACAGCGGCTGAATATAACAGTATCACTCATGTGGGCGTATTATATGAGGTGTATTATGATGATAATGGCTCATAATAACTTCATACGGCACGCTTCTTCGCTCATAAACAGAATGAAACAGAAGATATGGCAAGCTGTTTCATTATTGAGTTCATTAACTGTTCATATTTATTGATATATAACAGTGTTATTTTATGTTATTTTTTTGTATAACTGCAAAGTTATACAATATATATATATATATATATATATATATAT